GCTCTTCCTTAGGCTGACAGCAGGACCAACTGCTCCCTCACACTGAGACCACTGCGTCTATTCTGTCCATGAGTCCAGGTCCAGGCCAACTGGAGGGGTTTCAAACTGAACCTGGAGGATTCAGAGAGAGAGAAAGATCCTCGGAAACTTTCCAAGGCTCTTCTATCTTCAGTCTCCTCCGCCCTCCCTTTGGTCAGATCCAAAGGACAAGCTGCTCCAAAGAAGCTCTTCCCCTTTGGGGGGTTTCATCGTGGTTTCAGTGTGTTGTTTTAAGAGGTTCTTATGTAGCTCCACACTGGCCTAGAACTCACTATGGAGCCAAGGGTGACCTTGAACATCTGGGCTCCTTCCTTTACTTCCTGCCTGCTGGGATTACAGGCAAGACCCACTACACTCTCAATTTAACATTATTTTGAAGATCAAAGCCGGGGTGTATGCCTGTGTGGTAGGTGCTCTATAACCTAGCCACATCTTCAGACTTCCTGGAATATCTTTCGGATCCCCTTTCAATTCATCTTGACTCTGTAGGGAAGGACGCCCTGTACTATGGCACTGGCAAAAACTTCCAGGCTTTGTTTCCAGTCACGTGAGTCTTCAGGCAGGTCCCCCAGAATGCCTCATTTTTTCGTAGTATTCATTTAACATTGAAGGAGTGTGCAGGTAGGTCTGAGAAAGTATGTATGGTGGCAGAAGGAGGCCCACACTCCCCATGCTGGTCCTTCCAGAGCTAGCCAGTGTTCTTTATTTTCCCCAAACCCAAGTTTGGCTTAGCTCCATGCTCCAGGCCCGCTGTACCCTCCCTTATGAGATGCAAGAACACAGGGGTTTTAATCTCTCTTCCCTAGGGTACCAGTGTTCAGATGTTGGCTGCAGACTCCATTCCCTCTCTCAGAAAGAGAGAGTCCCACTGCCCACTGAGGTCCACCGAAGGTCAAGAGAGGTAGATAGCCCTCCAGATTCCAGGCGACAGAGAACCCCACCAACCCAACAGACGTTCCAGGATACTGGGGATCTCCAGTTGGGGAAACAGGGGCGCTTTCTACTCTATCTAACCCGGCCTTGGACGGAGCTCCCGCCTTGAGCCCGCCCCACCCCCATGAGGGTGCTGTAATTGGAGGAAAGTTCTGCGGCTTGTGGCGATTGGTCTGAGAGCAAAGGCCCCTCCCCCTAGCCGGGGAGCTCAAAGGGGGCTGCGCCGAGGGGTCGCCGGTTGTGGGGACGCGCCGGGCCCGGCAGCCGCGCCGGGGACTGCTCGCGCTGCGGCCCCGATCCTCCCGGGGCAGCAGCCCGAGGCCCCGGCGCGTCCCCGAACCATGCTGGTAGCCGCTCTTCTCTGCGCGCTATGCTGCGGCCTCCTGGCCGCATCTGCTCCCGCTGGCTACTCCGAGGACCGCTGCAGCTGGAGGGGCAGGTACCTGGAGGGACTACCGGGAGGGTTTGTTTGTTTTTAATTTAAATCTTGGGTTGGAGGGCTCCTTCTCACTTGGAACTGAGGTAGCGCAGACCTCAATGTCCTGTTCCACCGAGTGGACGCAGATGTTGGTGGCCGCTGGAAAGGGGATGAGCGGGCTAGGGAAACGAGGGCCACTCACCTGAGAACCACCGTCCTTGTTCCCAGCGGTTTGACCCAGGAGCCTGGCAGCGTGGGGCAGCTGACCCTGGATTGTACTGAGGGTTCTATCGAGTGGCTGTATCCAGCCGGGGCGCTGCGCCTGACCCTGGGCGGCCCCGATCCGGGCACGCGGCCCAGCATCGTCTGTCTGCGCCCAGCCCGGCCCTTTGCTGGTGCCCAGGTCTTCGCCGAACGGATGGCCGGCAACCTAGAGTTACTACTGGCCGAGGGCCCGGACCTGGCTGGAGGCCGCTGCATGCACTGGGGTCCCCGCGAGCGCCGAGCCCTTTTCCTGCAGGCCACACCACACCGCGACATCAGCCGCAGAGTTGCTGCCTTCCGTTTTGAACTGCACGAGGACCAGCGTGCAGAAATGTCTCCCCAGGCCCAAGGTCTTGGTGTGGATGGTGAGTCTAGTCAGATTGACTGGGGAGGAGCTGGGTCTCAGAAATTGGCCCTCTACGCTGGCCCGATGGGAATGGACCTTGCCACTCCACTGCACGGGGGAGTCCTTCTATAGCTTGACAGAGGCCACTCTGGTGGAGAGCATAGTGGCTTCCAGGTCATAAGGAGGTGAATTGGGAGTGCTCCCTCCTTTCTCATCTCTTCCTCTTCAAGGTTCTGTTTAGGAAAAGAACAGGAGGGGGCAAATGCCCGAGAGGCCAGCCTTGGGTCTCTGGTTTCTGAAGGGTTGGGGGAAGGGTTGGGCTGAGGCAGAATCAAAGCCTATGGCCAGGGCTGTCCAGGGCTCCCTGGCCTGGTGGTGACCTCCTCCCCCTCCCCCACCCCAGCCAACAAAAGTCCAGTGTGCCTCTTCGTCACCATGGATACTGCCTGCCCTGCCTCCCTGCAGGGCACCAGGCCCAGTGCTTTGCTCCTCTGGAACTTGTAGCCTGACCCTGCAGGGAATGGCTCTCTGACTGTTCTGCCCTAGCTAGAGACCCCAGAACCAGAGTCCACTAGAATATCCTGTCATCCTAGCTGGGTCTGGGAGGCAGCTCTGGGAGGTCACAGAGAGTTTCCCAGTGTTGATCTGAGCTTATGAGATGGGTGTGCAGAAATGTGTATCGGCCACTGAGGTGCCCATCAGTAGGCATGTACCTGCAGGGTGTCTTCAGGCTGTATGATACTGGAAGAAAGGTTTAGCAGCTAGCTCCTGTACCTTTTCCTCCTGGGAGGAGCTGGTGCTGAGAGATCACAGGCCGATGACTTGCCTTGCATACTAGGTGCCTGCAGGCCCTGCAGTGATGCTGAGCTCCTCCTGGCCGCTTGCACCAGTGACTTTGGTGAGTGTTTGTGTTTCGGGAGAGCTTAGGGTCTGCCCCACATTCCCACATGCCCACCACTGGCCACCATGTCTCTTCACAGTGATCCATGGGACCATCCGTGGGGTCGCCCACGACATGGAGCTGCAAGAATCAGTCATCACTGTGGTGGCCACTCGTGTCATCCGCCAGACACTGCCACTGTTCCAGGAAGGGAGTTCGGATGGCCAGGGCCAGGCCTCCATTCGTACCTTGTTGCGCTGTGGTGTGCGTCCTGGCCCGGGCTCCTTCCTCTTCATGGGCTGGAGCCGATTTGGTGAAGCTTGGCTGGGCTGTGCTCCCCGCTTCCAAGAGTTCAGCCGTGTCTATTCAGCCGCTCTCACGGCCCACCTCAACCCATGTGAGGTGGCTCTGGACTGAGAGACCTGGGAGCAAGCCCTGGATGGACCTTCCTCTGGGGGTGGGGTGTTGGGGATGGGTGATAGGAGGGTGGGTGGGAAGTGTGGCTCAGATGGCATCCTGGCACCCACGGTGAGGTGGTAGAACACTAAATAACCTGGATCATACCAGCCACTGTAGACATGGTCTTCTGTGGCAGGCCGCCACACCCAGCTCTGCTCCTGCCTCACTTTACCTACTTCCAACCCTTCTTAGCCTGCTGACCAGTGAGCGCCTGTTCTCTTCTAACTGCAGGGTGCTGCTGGGGTTCAGAGCAACTGTAAGGTACTTTGGAAGACTTGGGCTAATTGGTTTTTTTTTTTTTAAGGTGGCCTGGGGGTTAAGCAGGCAGACATCACTTCCAGCTCTGAACGAAGCCTTTTAGGGAGGGGTGCTGTAGCCTGGCAGTGTGCCATTCCCTTCCATGGCCGTTGTGAGCCATACAGTCATCCTTGGCCCGGTCCCGCCCTTAGGGAAGAATGGGCCCCTCTGTCCGGAGGCCCCCGAGACGTGCTGAGCATCCAGACGTGGCAAAGCGCCTGCAGGGTGTGGGGTCTCCCCTGCAGGATCCTGCTTGTTCGTTTCCGGCGGGAGAAATGGACAATGGGGTCTCTAAGGACTGTTTCCCGCCACTGGCCCCATTGTTGCCATCTCTGCCTTCCTCCTGGGCCTCTCTATTGCGCAAAAGGCTAGCGAGACCCTGGACAGACAAAGCCTGTGGCTTGAAAGCCCTTGAGTGAGGTGTGCGCTAGGCTTCTTAGGATATCAGTCAGATTCCTGCTGCCTCTACCTCATGGCTCCTGGGAAGCTGCTTCAGCTCCAGCGCTGAGCGGAGTGGAGTTCTAGAAATGCGTGACCTCCCTTTAAGGCTTTCCACCCATCATCAGTCCCAACAGACTATTCATTCAGACTGGGAGAGTGATGAGGCTGTGCAGGGACCAGACATACGGTTCCTTGCCCCAGACTGTGCCAATGAAGGCACTTGGTGGCGCCATGACTTACATAGGCCCTGGAATGGCTACGTAGGAATATTTAGAGTCAGATAACCTGTGTGTAATCTGAGGGTGGACACAGAGCATGCTCCTTTTACGTGGACTGCTTAAGGAGAGGGAGGGGTGATGAGGGTAAGAAGTCACTCCTGCAGGGTAGGCAACAGCATTTTCTCCCTCTATATCTGCCTCTAAACTGGCCCCTTGCTACTTCCTCTCAGCTCCCCAAGTTTCATGGAGTGATAAGGGTTTAGACCCTCATCTTTCTATCTGATAAGGGAAGGCTGGTCCAGCGGCCTCAAGTCTGCTTTAGGAAGCAGATAGTGAAGGCCTGAAAGAGTAGAGGCAGAGACAGCAAGGGGAATGGTGTGTGTGAGCAGGTGGACCCAAATCACAGGAGCTAGCCTGGGAAGCCCTGTGGAGACCAGAGACACCTCCAAGTAAAGCTCTGGCAGCTGAGGAGCAGAGTGTGGGTGCCAATGTCAGGTAAATTGCTGGGGCTTTTTGGGTGCTCTAGGTCTGAGAATATCACCAGGAGCAGCAGACAAGAATAACTGTGTCCAAGCAACCCTGTCTAGAATTCAGTGTCAGGCAGGGCTCTGGTATAATTCTCTCAGTGGCCAGATTCTGAGCTGGGTGGAGCAGAGCCTCTCTCTGCGGAATACACGTACACCTGCTGCCTTGGGACACCTGTCCAGCAGATGGTTTTAGAGGATAACACTGCCCCTGGGGGATAGGGTGGTGGTCCTGGGCATGTTCAATTTGGAAGTCATCACTGTCTCTGCTAGGGGTAGTCAAGGAGGATCAGGCCATGAGTGAGCAGAGACAAGACCTGCCATTCCCAGACATTTAGCCTTTATGTGGGTGGTCAGGGTCCAGCAGCTTGACTCAAGGCTCTATCTGTTTCCATGCAGGGCCTTACTAGGAGTCACTCAACCCTTTATTTTTGAAGGAAGGAGATCTTCCGGGCTCCTGGGCTGTCTTCCACCCTAGGCTGGGCCGGCTGCCAGCACCCAGCCGCTCACATCCGGCCCCCTCCCTCTATACTCACTAGAGAGCCAACATCTGTCTCTATCTGCCCGCCCCTCTCCTTCGACCCCAGAATACTGTTTCCCGCCTAATTATTGTCGCTGTAGGGTGAGGGGCTGGAAGGACGTCCTCTGGTTTGCGTCTCAGTTTTTGGTAGGCTTTCAGGGAAGGAAGTCTTGGTCAACAGAATTTGCATGAGAGTGACTTTCAGTTATAGGCCCTGGCTATAACCTAGGCTCTGAGCCAGGCCAGTACAACCTCAGGGGGATCTAGAACTGAGATTCCATATGGTTGTCTGTAGAGTGGACCCTGAAGCTGGCCGCTGTATGTCTCGGACCGTAGACCCACTCGAGGCAAACTCTGTCATTCTCGCCCATCGCCTGCGTCATTGCGACCTCAAACCATCACCCGGAACCCAAGGAGGGCCCCCCCAGATGGCTGGGCGGAGAAGAATGAGTGTTGGACTGGCCCAGGAAGCCTCTTTCACTTCCGGCGTCTGGTCGCAGCCGAAACCTAGACTTCTGCAGTTGCGGCTGCGGCTGGTGTAGGCTGCGAGCGGACAGCGTATAGCTCAGGCTAGGGGCAGCGGGGAGGGCAACTGCTTCCAGCTACTGGCCGGGAGCCTTGGGAAGTACGACGTTGTACTGAGTGTCTCTCAATCATGGATCACGACGACCCAACCGAAGCGTTGACTGAGCTGCGGGAGAAGCGGCTGGGCTTGCTGGAGTTATTGCAAGCGGCGGCAGGCTCGGGGTTGGCTGTCTATGCTATGTGGGCGCTGCTGCTGCAGCCGGGCTTCCGCCGGGTGCCTCTGAGGCTGCAGGTGTGGCGTTGAGCCTTGGAAGGAGAGGGACCAAAACTAGTGCAAGACAAGGATCAATGGGTGGGATCAAGGCTACTGTAGGTAGTGTAAAGAAGGGCAGGATCAATTATGGGGCAGGACCTAACCCGGGGACCCGATGTACAGAGAGTTGGAACCAGTAAGTTGCAGAGCCTGGGTCTGTCCTCCTGACCAAGGCTAAATGAAATGAAGCTGGGATTGAATTACCGAGGGGTACCGGCCTATGACTAGAGAGTGGGCGGGGCTGCATCCGATGTGGCAGGTATCAATTTAAGGAAGGAAATCTAGTAGGCACGCATCGGGCCCCCAATCTGGTGCTTCTGCCTGTGCGACTCTAGCCTCAGCCCTCCAAATTCCTTATTCAGGTGCCCTACGTTGGCGCGAGTGCCCGGCAGGTTGAGAACGTGCTGTCACTGTTGCGAGGCCGCCCTGGAAAAATGGTGGATCTAGGCTCTGGTGATGGCAGGATCGTAAGGCCTGTGACTTTATATTCGTTGTCCTTCCCGTGGTGGCCCCATTCCCTACATCCAGGTCCCACACTCTTGGCTCCCATAGGTGCTGGCGGCCCACCAATGTGGACTCCGCCCAGCTGTGGGGTATGAGCTGAACCCGTGGCTTGTGGGACTTGCACGGCTGCATGCCTGGAGGGCAGGTTGTTCCGGGAGTGTCTGCTACCATCGAAAAGATCTCTGGAAGGTACGCTACCAAACTTAAACACCCCTTTTTCTTTTCTTTTTTCTTTTCTTTTCCTTTCCTTTCTTTTTCGTTCTTTCCAAACTTGATTTTCTTTTCTATCCCTCCCTTCCTTTCTTCCTTTCATTCTTTTCTTTGAGATGTTGTCTCTAGTCCAGGCTTATCTCAAACTAGCCTAGGACTATAGACATGCACCATCAGACCTAGTTTATGCAGAACTAAGGATCAAACCCAGGGATTTGTGTATATTAGGCAAGTACTCTGCTGACCTAGTCAGACCTCCAGCTCCTGATACCTTTATTTCCCAAGTTTCATGCTCTGAGTGGCTATCAGGCTGATATCTGGGTGGCTAGAGGCCCTACCTTGGTGACCCCATGCCCTCCAGCCTTTATCCTTGTTTCCTACAGGTGAGCCTCAGGGACTGTCACAACGTGTCTGTGTTCCTGGCTCCCAGTGTGGTAGGTATTGGGTCTGCTCTCCTGCTTGGAGATCAGGACCAGAGTCTCTGCTCTTGGATACTCTCAGGCCTGGAATATGTTTCAGGCCCAGCTGGATGGGGCAGCTTTTTCTTACCTGCTCCTCTGCCCTCCTCCCTCCTGTTCTTTCCTACAGCTCCCACTGCTGGAGGACAAGCTCCAAGAAGAGCTTCCTGCAGGGGCCCGGGTAGTATCTGGGCGATTCCCCCTCCCCACCTGGCAGCCTGTAGCTGTGGTGGGCGAGGGCACCGACAGAGTTTGGGCCTATGATGTCCATGGTATTGGGCCAGCTGTGTCTTCTTGTGGGGTGCCCATCAAGGGCATCGCAGAGTCCAGTTCTACCTTGGTCCCTAGGGCCCCTGTTTGACAAGCTGGCTGACTGGATAAAATAAAGACTCCGTGGGTTCAATTCTGACTTTTGTTTGTTCCAGGAATCACTTCCTGGGGCAGGGTGTCCAGAGGGTTCCATGCTGGCTGTGAAGAGATTTGATTCGAGTTTTTTCTGGGAGACTAGCTAGTGACTCTGAATCCTTGGGCACCGAGGTCTAGTTGGAAGGCATAGCTTCTACTCCTTGGAGATCTCCTGTATTCACCAACTTCCTCAGTTTCAGGATTTCCTGCTTGTACCTAAACGGGATGATCAGACAAATCACTTGTCTGGCCCTGGATTTGTTTCTTTCCACCTAGATTAGGACACTGGGGTCACATCCAGCCTACCTGCCCAAGTGCTGGTCCACATATTCCTGTAGCTCAGACAGCTGCTGCTCTGCCATGGTGGCCCGGACCAACAGCTGTGCCCGTTCCCGTTCTAGCTCTGCCTGGTGGAGGCATGAGTCAGGAGCTATAGCAGGATGTAGGGTGGGCATCCCTACGGCTCCTTCCCCACTACCTGAGTATCCTGGGAGAAGTCCTGTAGCTTCTGCTGGATTTGGGCCCAGGATGCAGTGTCTAGAGCCCTGTGAGGGGAGGGGAGGAGGGGCAGTCTCCGAGCCAGGCGTCATACCTGCTGTGTGGTTTTAGGACAGCATAGCTCTGCCTGGAGCTCCAGAGCACCTGCACATGGATAATTCTCTGACTAGCTCAGTGACCCCTGGTCTATACAGTGTTTTCTTCCCCAATCCTCAGGAGGTACTACCTCAAGAGCCTGCCTAATGTACAGCAGGTCTAGAAGCCCAAAGGTACAGCTGCCAAGGCCACCAGGCTGTCAGCTGCCACCAAACCCGTTTCACCTGTCAGATACTTAACAAAGCATCCATCCACTTTTCTCAATGATTACCAGTGTTCCCCATACAAACTAAGATAGCCCAGAGCAGAGATAAGAGCCCTACCCAATAGCAAGGGTTGCTAGAATGAATGAAGGCGGTGCAGCTTCTGGTTCTCTCTGCCTGACTTGTAGACCTCCCCGTACCAAAAGAAAGCACTCACAGTGGCTGTGGCTTGTCCTTGGAAGTGTCACCAGATCCCTTCTCTGGGTACAGTAGCTGTGTCCTATATTGGCCATACTGTAAAAGGACATGGTGGCCTCCCTTGGTTGACTGAAGAAGGCCTACTGCTCAAAGGCTTGGGGATGAGGCCAGGGGTGAGTCCTTCCTGAGGCTCTGGTTTCAAGGAAGTTTTGGGCAGCAAGGAAGGGGCACCTGGACCCCAGTATTACCTTGTTTTCCCTTGGGTGGCTGAGTTCAGTGGCCCAGTGAATGGGTAATGGCTCCAGGTTGATGGCTGTTGCAAAAGTAGCCCTGGGAGAACCATGTGACCTGCTGGGATCTGTTTGTGCCTGGCACTGCTCCTGCAGCACACTAAACCACAGTACAGGTGGCATGTTGCCATCCCACCCCAGGTGCCTGGGTCAGAGTGGAGCTCACCTGCAGGTGGTTAGCAGCAACTCCTGCCTCTGGTTCAGCTCTGCCAGGCGCTTGCGGTAGGCCCGGGCAGCTTGGGCCAGCTGTTGCTCTCGGCTTCGGTGTGCGGCCCGAATGTCCTGCAGAGTGGCCTCCAGGAAAGCTTGAAGGGCTGCCTGACTTGTGCTACTGGCATTCTCCTGGAGGGGGTTGGGTAGGACAGGGCTGGGGCTGGGTTTGGACCAGGTTAGGCAGCCAAGCTGAAGGGGCTGGGCTTGAGTTGGGTCACATGGTTGGGCTTAACTTTACCTCCTATTTTAGCTGGCTGTGCAGGGTCCCGAGACCACAGATTCCTTGTAACGGTCTGCCCAGCACAGCCAGGGCAGACTCGCACTCCTCAGGTCTCAGAGTCTACTTCCGACCACTACAGAACATAATTAAAATGCTCACCACGGTCTCTTTGGCATAGCGCTGCAACCGGACAGCGTACTCCTCGTTCAGCTTCTTTAGCTGGAGCTGCAGCTGAGCATTTTCAGCTTCAGCCTGCCGGAGCTGACCCTGACAGGAGGACAGCACCTAGGAGTACCCAAGAAGCGATCGCTCTGTCTGTAGGACTCCCACCTGCCAGGTCTTGAGGGTCACTGGGTGGGTAAAGCCTCACCATGGCTTGGGCAGCCAATTGCTGACCAGCTGCCCTGGCTTCCTCTCGGGCTCCCTGCAACTGCTGACTTAGGGTTCCCCTGTGAACACAGTACAGGCTCTGCTAGGCCAGGGTGAGGTACTCCCCCATCTCCTAAAGAAGAATCTCTCTGACCACTGGACTCGGCTTGTTCTAGTGGAGGTGAAACTCACACTTGTGTCTCCAGTGCCAGCTGCCTGACTCTGTGATGCTCCTGAACCCACTTCAGTTCCTCCTGCAGCTTCTGCTGGCCTCCTGAGGGCTGTAGGGTGAAAGAGACCAAACTTACTGCACGTGGGCAGACCCCTGTGATAGGTGGCTGTATACTGACGTTGTTCATGCTGCTCAGGCTCAGAGAGCCTGCCTTTCGTGGGATTCACCTTCGTGGACAGAAGGGAAGACAGGGGAGGGGAGGGAGCAGCAGACACCCGTTTCACTGCCCCTGAGCAGGTGCTCAGTCCAGTGCTCATGGTAACCTAGGGTCTGTGGTAGGTGAAATTCAGGCCTGGTTTCTCCACTGACCTCTAGTGGTGGCACCTGGTGTTGCCCCAGATTGGCTGCTGACTGGACTCCATGTCCCTGGCAGGCACCATTTCCATGCAGTTCTAGGTCTAGCACCCGACTTTCCAGTCGAAGAACCTGTGGAGATCAAGGGTGACCTGGGGTCCCGCTAGCTGCTGGACCACCTGGAGCAAGTAGATAGTCACCTGGGTGCGTGCAGGAGCACGTAGCAGGAGCCAGGTAGGGGTCCACAGACACAAAAGTCTATGTTCACTCCCGGGCACCTGAACCCCTTAATTGTGCTTTTCCTGGGTGTGCTCTCTGTTCCTGAATGAACTCAGGCTGACACACAGCTCACGTGGCTACTCACTTCCCTCCTCAGCTCAAAGACTTCAGCCTCATGCTCTTCACGCAGGTGATGGGTTGCGATCTGCAGATCAACTAGCTCCTTAGAAATCTGTGGGTAACCAGGGCGAGAGATGCTGCCAGTGGCTTCTTAGGCTCTCTGCTCTGACCACAACCCCACAGCCCCCCACATCTACCTGCAACCGCTGTTCCTCACTCAGCTCCAGATGTGTCTGATGCTCTGTCTCCAGGCTAGTGGCCCAGGCTGGGTGCCCAGAAACTCTTGGCAGCCAGTCCTCAGCTCCTGGAACAACCTGAGAAGGCACCACCACCCCACACCTATGTGGGTCTCTGGCCTGGGCTGTGGACCCCACTCTCATGGAGGCATTTCAGCCCTCTTGAACCAGGTCAACCCCTTCCCTGGGCAGGAATAGACAGGATCCAGGTACTTCATCCCTTCTGGTCATTTAAGAAAAAGAAGGACTCCAATAAGACATCAGTGTCTTGGGAGGACTCACGTTCTCTGCAACTCGAAGAGGGGCCCTTAGCCTGGGGTCTGGGGCTGCCACATACTCCATGGAGGAGAGAAGTTCTGGCCCCTGATCCGTCTGATGGTGGCCTGCTTCCTGGTTGTTGCTGGGAGTGTTGTCAGTGTTGCCATGGCCTCTGTTGACCTTAGAGACTACCTATCCTGCCTACAAGGAAGGGCAAGGCAGTTTAGTGGTTACGAAGAGTGGTACCCACAAATGGCATCCTTTCCTTCCTCGGCCACAATCCCTCATGGCAAAAACAGACAGACAAGCACTCTCTTTCTTGCAGGCCAGCTGGATCAGGGAATGCATGACCATGCCAAACCTGTACCTGCAGTTGCAGACACTATTTGTCTTTATATGGGATGCCATGTTGTCCCTTAGGGATTTGTAACTATTTCCAGTGGATCTCAACCTTCCTAATGCTGGGACCCTTTAATGTTCTTTGTGTGGTGACCCCCAACCATAAGATTATTTCACTGTTATTTCAAATTGTAATTTTGATACTGTTATGAATCATAATGTAAGTATCTGTGTTTTCCAATGGTCTTAGGCGACCCCCTCCATTTTTTAAGGTGTTGTGAGCCACAGGTTGAGAACCAGTGTATTAGACTCTAGTATATCTTCCTGTGTCAGTCGAACTCACACTATCAGGTGAACGAGGTGGACACACCCTCTGTCTGAGCGAAGTGGACATAATCAGAAGTAGTGGACTTTGGGAGCTAGCTCAGCCTGGGAACAAGAAGGGCTAACCTAACGAGGTGCCCTTGCCCGAGGCTGAATTGGAGCATGCGCACTGCGCCACTGTGCTCAACCGGTTCGTGTGGTCCCTTCTGCTCATGCGCGATTCCAGCAATCGTCCCTCAGGGCTCCGCAGCACTCACTCAGGATCGCGACCGAGGAGTGGTGATGTCGCGGTGGGCAGCGACCACACTCTCTCCAGGACTAGATCAGCGGCTGATGTGCGAGTGAGAGGAACAGCAGGGAACGAGGTCGCCCAGGTCTGGGATCCTAGTGCAGTTGAGAGAGGCGGGGTCTGTTGAGGAAGGCGGGGCCTACTGGGCCCTGGAGCGGAGCTAGAAGCCGCATTGCTGTGTAGCTTTTTGGGGAAAGTTAAAGCTGGGATAGTGGGCGGGGCCTGAGGTGAGCAAGGCAGGCAGCCCCTGAAGAGCTTGGAACTGAAGCAGTTCCCTCTGGGAAGCTCCTGGGTAGCGGAACAACTCTTCCTTTGTGCCCCTAGTGTGTGTGTAGCTGACCCGCCTCGTGCACCTCAGAAAAAGGGATTCACTAGGTTGAGGAAGTGTGGCCTGGCTGAGGTCTGCGACCATGAAGGTCAAAGTCATCCCGGTACTTGAAGACAACTACATGTACCTGATCATTGAGGAACACACACGGGAGGCTGTGGCTGTAGACGTGGCTGTGGCCAAGAGGGTGAGGGCCGACAAAGGATGCCATCAGGGGATTCCCAGAGCAGACCTGACTGACCCCTAATTGTTTTAAGTCATTTGATATATTATCTTTGGGCTCCCTTGAAGTATGGCTACTTTTGATGTTCGTAGTTCCCCAGTAATTGTACTGTCTGCCCGATATCTCCTCTAACCCTTGTTGCCCTGGGTCCCGGCCTGCCTGTGGAATTAAGCATCTGAACCTAGTGAGCCAGAATGGGGTGGGTGGCCCACCTGGACCGCTGCGGCACTATAACTTCATCCTTTCTAGCTGTTGGAGATTGCAGGCCGCGAGGGAGTGTCTCTGACCACGGTGCTGTCCACACATCATCATTGGTAAGTAAAGAGGGTGTGTGTCGAGGCCTGAAGCGGTCTCTTCCACGAACACTCTGACTTGACCCGACTCCCACACTTCCACAGGGACCACACACGTGGAAATTCGGAGCTGGCACACTTGCGGCCAGGATTGGCTATCATGGGAGCAGATGAGCGCATCTGTGCACTAACCCGCAAGCTGGAACACGGAGAAGAGCTTCAGGTGAGCTGAGCATGTACCCAGAAGGGGAGGGGAGGGTCCTGGTCCGGGCCTGCCTACCGGCCCTCACAGGTCCAGTGCCTCACCATCACAGTTTGGGGCCATCCACGTGCGATGCCTCTTGACGCCGGGCCACACCTCTGGCCACATGAGCTACTTCCTGTGGGAGGATGAATGCCCGGACCCACCAGCCCTCTTCTCTGGTACCTTGCAGCCTGGACTCATTCACCTACCCAATTCCACTGTGCCCTCCCTACTCCCTTCTGACCCTCTCTGCTCCCTAGGGGATGCTCTGTCAGTGGCAGGCTGTGGCTGGCACCTGGAGGACACTGCCCAGCAGATGTACCAGAGCTTGGCCAAGACTCTGGGTACCCTTCCACCCCAGACGGTGAGCCTTGGCTTCCTGTGGGGTCGACATGCTTGGTCCTGGACTTCCTCTTGGTATTTAACCTGTGCTTTTGTACTTGTCCTGCTTTGGTAAAGGTGGTGTGGACCTGGGTGGGTTAGGAATAGGAGTGCTGGACCCTTCTTTGGCCTGAGACAATGTGTGTTCACTCAGCTCCATCTTCTTGCAGAAGGTGTTCTGTGGTCATGAGCATACGCTGAGCAATCTTGAGTTTGCACAGAAAGTGGAGCCCTGCAACAACCATGTGCAAGCGAAGCTGTCCTGGGCCCAGGTGTGTCCATTTCCAGCTCCATAAAAGGGGGTTAGTAGCCTTCCTGATGTTTGGGGTGAGTTAGAAAGGGAATCACTGGGGAATCAGGATGAGGCTTCTGCTGGCTTTAGCTGGCAGGCCCGGGGTTTTGCCCTGCTGTGCCTTAACCTCCCTGCAGCTGTTGGCTGTCGGAGGCCCAGTTGTAATTGGGGACCTGTTCTTTGCAGAAGAGGGATGATGATGATGTACCTACTGTGCCTTCGACACTGGGCGAGGAGCTCATGTACAACCCTTTCCTAAGGGTGACGTAAGTACGGCTGTGTCCTCGGCCTTCCTGGGGGGCCTGAGCCATATCAGTGGGTAGGGCAACCTCAAGAGGCTGCGTGCACTGCCAGTTAGTCTCCCCACGGAACAGTCTCAGGACTAGCCTGGCATCCTTAGGGCCTCTTTGGCAGTCATTTGAGTAGTTAGGAGGGTATCTAGGGACTATTTATTGAGCTGAATGTCCCTGGCACCAGAGAAGGGCATTTGTTAAGGGCCCTCCTTCCATCCACTGCCCTGCTGGGCCCCACCCCCATGGGCAGCTGGCCAGGCCCACAATTCCCCAGTATATTCTTCCCTGCAGAGAGGATCCAGTTCGTGCATTCACAGGCCAGGTGGCCCCAGCCCAGGTCCTGGAGGTCCTCTGCAGGGAGCGAGCACGCTTCCAGCTTGCTTTGGAGCCACCTCAGCCCCAGGTTCGGGCACTCCTGGCCTTACAGTGGGGGCTTCTGAGCACACCTCAAGAAAAGTGAACTGTGTGGGGAGCCTGCTTGTCCCCACACTCTCCTGGACCTCAGGCTGACTGAAACCTCGGCCTCCAAAACCTTCTGAGCCCCTGCTACCCTGCTTTGAAGAACCAGCAAGTGGTGCCTCCCTTGCCTCTACTCCTTGTGGAGCCGTACAAGTGGGATCTCTAGGAGCTCTTGTGGGTCCAGACATATCCTGGGGACAGGAGGGTGAATAAAACTTTGAAAGGCCCAGTGTGGTATCACAGACACACAGCAGATCCTTCCAGAGGCGCCGACCTGTTTATTACTGGCGAGTCCCAGCTGTGGAGTTCTCACAGGCATATAGGCTTGGTGCTGACAGACTGCCCACAGCCTAAGCCCCTCACAAACAGACAGATTTTAGAAGATTGGGTGCCCCATTAGGTTCAGGCTCGATACCTGCCCTATAGGTTATAGCTTCAGGGGTTAGCCACAGAAATGAAACCCCTTACACTCAGGCAACTACAGCCAGAAGTCAGGGCAGAGAAGATGTCCATGGCCCTGGGCCAGTGGAAGAGTCTGGAACCTCATTGAACCTACTTGGTTACTTCTGATTCTGTCTGCACTTCACCCTGCATATCTTAATGTGGACCTTGGAGGTATATGGGCTGCAGGCAACATTACCAGCCAGAGACATGGGTCATGTGTCACCAAGGACCCACCTGCAGCTACTGTCCCCATTGTAGCACAAAACCCAACCCATCCTTGGAGCTCTCCTTGAACTGAGGGTCTCTGGTGTGTCCTGTGTGGGCTTTGTTGCGGATAACCACACAGTCTTCCTGGAAGTCTTGGTGCTGGCCCCTGGGGCTCTCATAGACCGAAGCTCTCCTACCACCTGATGCTGAGGCCTGAGTTGGTCTTCTCTATGGCATGGTACTGCGTGTGCAGCAGGCGGCTGGCTCGCTCTGAGTCCTTGCCTTGCAGCCAATGCTGGTACAGCTCCTGGACCCCAGGAGCATCTTCGGGCGCCTCATTCCTCACCATGCTGTACAGTCTTTCCACTTGCTGGAGGAGCTCCCTGCCTTCTGTATCCAGAGCCTTGAGCTGGCCCCCTCCATTCAAGCAGCCTGCAGTGGGGCAGGGGCATGGTGGCAGGAAGTCAGGGTTAACCCTCTGACCCCTGGGTATGGAGAGGGGGACTTCCCCCCCTCCTGTCCAACCCTTTCCACCTTCCACTGGTGGACTATCCCAGCAAGCAGAGCCTGCTGTACTATGCGAGGAGGAACTACCTGAAGGGCAAGCCATTACTTCCACGTAATGGTAGGGACAGCGGCCTCGTTTCAACTTCTGCACGAGGTTCTGGATGTTTCGGAAGCCATAGGCCACAGCAAACCGCAACAGCACCTGGCCTTCCCTTTCCAGTGTCACTTCCTGGAAGTCCTTGTTCCTGAAGGTGCAGGAGCAGGTTTGTGAAAATGCACATAGCCATGAGACCCTGTCCCTGGCTAGGGGCAGAAGCCTTCTGGGGTTCAGTGCAGCACCAGCTGGCTCTGTCTTTTCCTGCTTGCACCAAGGGAGGGGTGATAGAGAAGGAGTATAGCTTACATCCATGGCCCCACCAGATAAACTCATTTCTACCTTGATCTTAACATAGGGTTATTTTTCCAATGGGCAACCACAAAGTCCAGCACGATGTGAAACCCCAGGCCCAGGTGCTGTACCCGTGCCAGGCACCCTCTAGTCCCTGCATGTACCACCCTGGCTCAGGGTTTGGCCTGTTTGTTTACACTTCATGGTCAGAAGAGGAGACACACTTATGCTAAGGGCGCCAGGAGTCTTTCCCCCCTCCCCAATTCACTTCAGTGCCTGCCCTTCTAACCTCAAAGGTTGGTAGGTGACTTCAGTCACATGGATTCCAAAGAGCTCTTGGGCTGCGTGCCGGAACACATGCTCCAGGTAGCCTCCCGAGCCTCCACCACGATGGCTGGTGGGCTCCTCAGCAGACACACTACTGGTTCTGGGAGAGGGGCGGGTCAGTGCAGGAAGCTGAGGTCTCTTGTAGTCAGACATTAAGAACTGTTCTTATGGTGGCCCTGGGAAGCTCAGGTGGCTTCTAGAATAGGCTCTGCTTTGACACTGTAAACTCAGCCACTCTTGGGCCCCAGCCAGGCTCTGGGAGGTCTGGAGTCGGCCAGAAGGCAGCCTGGGTAGAAAGGAGGGGACAAGACACTGCCCCACCCCACAGGCAGCATCTAATCCCAAATAAAGCGTCTCAGTGCCCACCACCAACTCACAGGCCATCCAGGGGCACAGGCTCCAGCTCCGAGAGCGAGACTCCTTCTTCCTCCATCAGCCTGAAGACTTCTCCTGCAGAAGAACCGCAACATACACTTGCATCGACCTGAAAAGGCTGTGTTGTCTGTATCCCCAGAGGGACACTTACTGTAGACCCATGGGAAGGCATTCCTGCCCGGAGCACTGTAAAAGGAGCCAGGGCCACTCTGACAGTCTAAGGGCAGGCTGGACTCCCAGTTTATTTTCCTTCTAAGTGGAAGTCAGGCCACTCCACTTAGGAGTAGGGTGAAGATATGCTCCACAGGAACTAGAGATCTTGGCTACCCTCAAGACTCATTTTGAACCAGCAAGGATACAATACTGGGGCTCCACTGGCCACAGCATCCCCCTGGGAGGCACTCACAGAAGCCCCTGCTGTCTCCCTGGCCCAGTTCTTGGCTCCAAGGGAGTGGAGCCCCTTAGATACAGAGGGTAGAGTTATGCACGGGAACTGCACCTGTTGTAAGAACACAGTCCACGTCACGAGTCTGGTACTCCTGGTTGAAGAAGTCAGGTCTGGATGCTTCTAGCTTTTTGTCATAACAGGGCATCACTGTTACATGGTAGATCTTGTCAGGAGTCAGAAGCTACGGATAGAAAGAGTGTAGAAAGCTTCAGCCCCATCTAAGTCAAGCTCAGAAGTGTGAGATGTGACCTGAATTGACTTGAGCAGTTACTCATGCCCACTGGTCATCAACTGACCAGGGCCACATGTTGTCTCTGCCACCTCTGTCCCTCACAGGCAGCTGCAGCACAGGAGATAGGTGCTCTCTCGTTGCCTTTGAGAGGTCAGGTCACAGTGGAGACAACACAGACTTGTGGGAAGTGTGTCTGACACACGTAGAGAGAGTGCACAGGGCAGATGCTTGCAGCTGCAGCGCTATGGAAGCCAGCGCCCTTCCTTACCCTGTCAGTGCGGTGACTTCATGCTAGGACTAGTGGATCACTGGAAATACCTCAAGTGAGGTCTGATTTGTTCACCCAACAGACTGTGGGGTGTGCTTCATGCCCTTGCTCCCTAAACATGGAGTCTAAACCACCTCTGGGTGCTTTCCTATAAGTCCATCCCTGGTGTTTGACAAAAGACAGCACAGGTAGTAACAGGCTAGCTGACCAAGACTGATACTAAGGCCAACGTATTCCACTGGTAGCTACCATTGGGTTTCAGTCACCCAGACACACCCAGAAAGTACCACGGTCACAGGCCAGGGATCAGCGGCCAGCCAGCAGGACATCTCTCACTCCTGAGACACAGACGGCCACTCCTCATACGTTGCCAGGGATGCCCAGTCCCTGTTACCTGTTGCTGTGCAAAGAAGTCTTTGACCAGGGAGCCCATAACCTGCTGTGGGGACCGGACCGTACTGATGTAGGGGAGGATGAAGTTGCCATGTGTCTTCTCGGCATAGCAGATCCAGCCTGAGCCAAAAGGAAACAACAGGCTTGGGATGTGCACAGGGCAGGCCTGGGGGTGGTTCACAAACAGCTGTTCTCTTGGCAGTGACATGACATTCTGGGGGTGGAGCGATTCATACAAAAAAATGACTATGGCATGAAAACAGCCATCCTGTCATCACTGTCATGGGAAGGCTGGTATCCAGGCGATACCAACGGGACCCAGCGATTCCAGGTCATGTCTCAGGCCTTGGGTACCTCCTAGGGTGCATTCCTACCCTTCTCTGAAGACAACCCCTCCCCTCCCATTGTTCTCACTTTCCATGTCAAGCTGTCAGTATATCAGGACAGCCTGACTTCAATTAAACAACCACGAAGCCAGGGACACACCTGGGCAGGCGGAAGCCAGCACTGGCAAGGCCTCTCCGGAGTTGGCTTGTCCCCGGTATCGCTGCACAAACTCTTTCTGGCTCTCCAAAAGGCTGAAGTTCCTCGAGAAGGCAGTATCAAAGACAAAGTGCACCCCTGGAAAGTGGTGGAAGGCGAGCAGGTGTCTTAGTGCCAACCGTAGCAGAAACTAGCACCTGAACTCTCTGTCCAGAGTGGGGCAGCACTGTGTGCCACAGGCCAAGCACATGGCTCTGCCCAGGGGCACCACAGCAAATATGGGGTCTTAGGAAGCACTGTTTTACCAGGTACAGCACCTGCCATGAGGATGGCCTGAGAGCTGCCCCGTGGCCCCAGCATCACCCCCAGAGAGAATTCCTAAAACCACACTTTTCTTGGCACCATTCTGAATGTGTTTAAGCCTTTTGTACCAGTAGGGCTTTGCCCTGGATGTTTTGGCCTCCTCCAGACCAACCTGTGGTGCATACAGAGGCCTTTGCCTTCCCAACTGCCTCCTGATGATGCCGTCCCCAAGGGCTAGGACCACCTGTATGGCCACACTGCTGCAACCCTGCATAGACTGTGTAGACATGACTCAGTGGGCTTTTCAACCACAGGGAGATGTTGTAGACTTATGTCAGCCTGGCGTAGGCCATAAGCTAAAGCTCCTGCAGGATCCCAGTGGAAGACTGTGCTCCTGGCTCTTCGGTTCTCTGTAGGGCTGGGAACTGTCCTGGGATGACGCTGGACTGAGCACTCACTAGGATCACTACCCCCATGCTGGTTTTCCTTAGAACTCTGAGGACTGACGAAGACTCCTAGTACCATGGCAAGGGTCACACAGGAGCATGGGGTGCCTGCCTATCAACGCATATTCCCTGCAAGACATTATTGTCATGGTTGACAATAAGGTCCAGGCCATCTAACAGGCAGGAGGTGCATTCTGTGGAGGTGGTGCCATGAAGGCCCAGTCCCTCCACTTTCCCAGGAGAGGCTGCTAGTTACTCTGGTTTAGCAGGAGACCCAACACCCAAGTCTTCCTCTACCCCAACTCCTGGCAGAAGTCAGCCAAAGGTTACCCAAGCCAGAACCCAACAAATGTGACAATGTGCCTGAAAAACAGTCACTGTAGCCAGGGATGGTTTAGCAGGGATAGGTCCTTGCTGTCAAAGTGGATAACCTGAGACGATGCCTGAAACCCACGTGGTGGAAGGAGAGAGGTAAGTCCTGAGAATGGTCCCATGACCCACGCCTGCACATGCACACATACACACTCAAAATAATTACATGTAAAAATAAATACACGTTAAAAAAAAAAACAACAAATAGTAACCTAAGCTGGGCACAGTAGCACATTGTCTGTCATCCAAGTTCTCAGAGGCTGAAGCAGGAGGATTGTGTTTGCGGCCAGCCCTGACTACACAGTGAAGTTGACACAAGCCAGGGTGACAAAGTGAGACCCTATTCTAAACAAACAAACAAACAAACAAACCCCCAAAGGTGGCATCTATATGCAATTCCAGCGCTTGCTCCGTGAAGGCAGTTCAAGATCAATCCGATCTAGACCTAGTTTCAAAAAACCAAAACACTAATACCACCCAGGGGACAGGGGACTGGTCAACTACAGTACAAAGTCAGAGCTCAGCTGGCTTCTCTTCTAAGGTCCTGACCTCACCATCACAGTGAAACTTCAATCGGAAGTCACACTAGGGAGAGTGCCCCTACTGTTCAGCCCAGGGTGAGTGACATGTGCTTTGGGGGCGGGAGGAGTCCCGGAACCAGCCGCCCTCGTTCACTCAAGGTTCTGCACCTACCTATTCTTTTGAAGAATGAAGTTAATTTCCTGGCAGTGTCTGTGGAGTCTAGCTGAAACCTGGCAGCCAGCGATGCTCTGGACTGAGGTGAGATGGAAACGACCACCAACCGCTGCTGACCCGGTGCTGCCACCTGTAGAGCAAGAGAGAGAAAAGCCTCTGGCTCTGCAGGCTTTCCACAGATTCACAGAGGCCATCAGTTCCACCACAGTCGGCCACAGTGACATTTAGAACCCAACCCAGAGCTCCAGGCCTAACAGTGTCACTAACATGAGAGTCACAAAACCTAAAGATGCAGGAGTCACCAGAAGCCAGCCGGGTGGACCAGCTGAGCTTCCCCTGATGAAATATGCCATAGACAGCTGGGTCTGGTCCCCACTGCTTACCTTATTAGCATCTAGAACCTTCCGCAGTTCCTCGTGGCTCTGCTGGGTAATGAGTACTGTCTCTGCTGAAGTGACGCAGCCGCTGCAAGCCAGGCAGTCATTCAGGGAGACCTTGGCCTTCTCCAGCTTCTGGGTTCTTCCATCCTGCAGGTGAGCAAAATCTGGAGCAGAGAGTCTTGTGGGAGATGGGCAGGGCATTCATTCCAGGTATTCTTTTTGACTTCCACTCACATCACCAAGAACCAGCATGAGAGCAGACTGGGGTCTTATGATACCCTCTTATCATTTTTTTTACTTTGCTTTTTTTTTTCATGACAGTAGGTGGAATTCAGGCCCTGCAAACACCAAGCAAACATTCCACCACTGAGCTCTCTTCAGCCCTGACACCCAGTTTTTAAAAGATTAAGTGAGTATCACACAAGTACACAGATGCTTTAGAGACCCCAAGTATTCACACTGACATCAAGTTCTAGCTTTGGGTACAGGCTTGACTGGAGTGCCAGGACCCCATGAGCAAGGCTGGCTTTCTGTAAGTCAGTGCAGAAGCCACAGACCTGCTGCTCTCTGGTCTGTGGGGACAGGCTGGGAATAAAAGAGTGACAGCCAAGAATGGATGAAGGAAGAGAGGGTGGGGGATGGGAGAGAAGGCTGTACAGGCAGTAACAACCATCAGAATTGGTAGAACAGACCCAGGACTCTAGCATTCAGGCCTCCAGGGCACCCTCAGTGGTAGGTGTCATGCAAAAAAAAAAAAAAAAAAGCCCATCAACACTGCTACAGATGCAGAAATGGTTTGAGCCAGGGCAGGTGAGCTGCGGGGATCCAAACTGATCAGAGAAGTAAGGCTAGAAGGTTTGGAGTCCCTTCCGATATTCTCTGAGCCTGTGCTTGGCACCAGTGCCCCGACCTGAGGTTAACCACACCAAGAAACCAAAGGCCCACAGGCCCAGGCTGCACCAAAACTATGTGGATGAGGCCACTTGTCCTTAAAGCACAGCCCAGTGGTGGTGGGCACCTTCCTCTGTCCTTCTATCCATGGGACCCCTTGTTGAGAATCAGGGCCTCCTGGTACACTGGGGTCTAGCAGATGTCACAGAGTGTCACGAGGTCACTCACGGTTGTAGACAAACAGCTGGGCTTCGCTGTGGCAGCTGGATCCTGCCCGTCACTGCTCATGGCTATCTGCACACTCATCCCCTGAACCTACCCATGGTTCCTCCCCTACTCAGAGTCCCATGGCTGGGCATCACTTCTCGGGGCAGTGGCACACGGGATTTTTGAAGGGATTCCTTAGAGTGCAAAGGGTTAATTTTAGCAGACATCAGGATCTACCCTTTAGATTAGAGGAAGGAGGGGCTTGATGAGCCAAACCCAAAACATCTTATGCTACCAGACGTAGGAGGTAAGGAAGGAGCTTCCATCTCGGCAAAGTCCCCCCCCCCCCCCCACCTCCTGCCTCTGTGCAGAACAGGACAGACTGGCTGCTCACCGTCTCAGCTCCCCATGGCCAGTGAATGTGACCAGTGAGAGAGAGCTGGGGAGATGCAAGGAGTTTCAGGGTGGCCACATCTGTGACTGGGAGAGGCAGGAGACATGTGTTTCAGATCCACACACCAGCCTCCCTCCTCTTGCCCCAGCAGGGATGTGGTGGAAGCTCTGGTTCCTTACTGGGTTCACTTGGAAGTAACTGCCATCATCTTCAATGTGGATCTTGGCTATCCCACTTCCAGACTTCTTATCCACCTTCACAGGCTTGATGCAATTCTACAGCAGGAAAAGACCCCACACCAGGCTCTATTAGGAGAAAGCAACTCAGATGGAGGATGGTGGGCCACAGGGATGTCTGGCTACAGGCCACAGAGCAAAGCTCTCCACCGAGGCCAGTTCTACCAACTTCGTGCCACCGAAGGCATGCGGAGCTCTGGTTGCCCACCCTTCTTTGTACAGGTGAGGAGAATGTCAAGGCCACTCACTGTCCAGGTCCAAATCACCATGAAGATTGGTGTAACTCTATATGCAAGCTAATGCAGAAGCCCTGACCAGCCTGCCCTTCCTATGTGCAGGTAGCAGCAGACCACCAGAGGCCAGTGTGTCAAGAGGTCTGGACTTTCCTTGGAAACATCTAGAGGTCACCTCCAATCTACTACCACAGATGAAACTTCATGTCTCTCCCCTTCTCCTGGACATCTCCTGTTACTGCTTCCAGAACCTTGGTTGGCTTTCCAGATGGCCAGTCTTGGGGAAGATGCCCCAGTTCATCCTGTCTATGTGGCAGCTCAGCCCCTCTTTTATGCGTCATGGGACTTGGCTACAGGACCACTAGCTCTGGAGACAAAGGAATACCCAGACAAGGGCACCGGCTCCTGTTTTCAGGGGTGGCTGTCTGCCATCCCTCCTATTTTCCTCAAGGCAAGGTCAAGAACATTAACTATGGTTGTGGCCCAAGTGGACATCTCGCCTGTCCCTTCAACATGGTCCCTGTCCACAGAGGTAAACAAACTGGCTCTGAGAGAGGAGTGGGAAGGGATGTCTCACAGGTGTGTGGAGGCTGCCTAGCCCCAACCATGTCTCTGCGCCACCAGCTGGGTGACACTACTAGGAACAGTAGTTGAAGACCACATACAACAGTCCCCATTTTTTTTCAACACTAACCCTGCCTGTTACCACTAAACACTCCATGGTCCCAGAGATCGCTCTGGGCCTAGTAACCGGGTTGTCCGGCCTTCCCTGGCCTCAGTATCTGTGGTAGTAAGAAGGGAACTAGACTGACTGAGGCCCTGGGCCCTGGGTCGGGTCTCTTGCTCAGGAAAAGACACCGGTGAGAGAGGTTTCCAGGCGCACGGCCAGGCCCAGACCCTCCTCCTGAGCGACTCGCCCTAGGCCAGCCCACCTGAGACGGCCCGATGAAGTCATCCAGGTCGGTCAGTTGTAGTGCCCCACTGAAGGGCGACGCCATGACAGCCTCACTGCCGCTGGGCGTCGCACGGGGGTGTCGCAAAACGACACCAAAATGACACTCAATTCCGCCACTCTGCCGGAAAACGCAAATTCCAGCGCATGCCCATTGCTCGCGAACAAACTTTGAAAAGAGTGAGCGCCCTCTACTGGGCGGCGGCCTTGAGCGCTCGGACCAGCGGATTCGAAGGAGCAGGTTCCACCGCGTTCAGTTTCCCTCGGTTCCTTGGTTGCGGTGTACCAGGGTAGCGTAGACAGAGAACGCAAAGAATGAAACTCGAGAGTCTCTCCCGCTTCACGTACGGGTGGGAATCCGGGTTTCACTCATCACCTTGACCTGGCAGTACCCAAGGAAGGTCCCAGATACAGTGCCTGCATCAGGAGACCCGGCTGATTGTGGGCATCGGAACACAAAATGAACTTTGAATCACTGGAATGCCTTGGAATGGGCTTACCAAAAACGCGGTCGGCAAGTGCTGTTGAGATGATAAGACAGGAGCATGGGAGTACATTTACAGAACGGGCTGGACCAGGGCCAAAGGACAGTTTCTGTTTGCTGGGAGGATTCTAATGCTGGAAGGAGGGTGATAAATAGATCTTGGGACATTCAACCTCCCCCACCCCCACCCCCACCCCCACCCCCAAATCCAAATCTATTAGAACAAACACAGTGGAGGGCTGGCAGGGTGTGAGGCGGAGCCAAGACCCACTAAGAGATACAGAGCAGAATGGCTTGGCATTCATCGTAATGCCGGTGACCCTGGAAGACATTGCAGTCAGTGGATGTGCATGAAGCCAGTCATAAAAGACCACATGTGTGACACATTCCACAAAATGTCCAGAACAGGCAAACCTGCAGATAGAAAGCTGACCTCAGGTGGAGAGAAGGTTTGTGACCAGGGTGATTAAAAAGGTCTTTAGAAATTGATGTTGAACATTTTTCTTTTAAATGGAATGGGGTTTCCTTGTGTAGCCCCGACTGTCCTAAAACTCACATGGTGGACTAGGGTGGCCCCTAACTCACAGAAATCCATTTGCCTCTGCCTCCATAGTGCTGGGATTAAAGGTGTGCCACCATGCCTGGCTTTGTAACATCATTAATGTCACCAAAATGTCTACTAGAAATGGTTACAATCAAGTTGAGATGAGAGTTGATTTAGTGCTTGCTGTGCAGATATGAGGAATGAACTGAGTTTGATTTGTGGCACTAATGTAAAAGCTGGACACAGCGATATGTGCTGCCCATAATCCCGAGAAGGGAGAGGCAGGGAGAGCCCTGGAGCCTATGGCCAGCCATGAATTTCCAAGACTGCTAACCTGAGTTCAATCCCAGGCCATATATAGTGGAAATAGAAAACTGACTCTTGCCAATTACTCTCTGGCTTCCACAGATAAAACATAGCACAGATGCATCCATACACACATATGTGTACACACAAATGCATGTAACTTTACAAGAGAAAAAAACTGATGTACTAAGATCCTACACATGTGTTTTGTTTTGTTCTGTTCTGCTTTGTTTCCTTCCCTAATCAGAGACTGTTACTGAATAGCCCAGCCTGGCTTTAGGTCGTTTGTGTTTGTTTTTGTTTTTTCAAGACGGTTTTTGTAGCCTGTCTTTGTGTGTAGCCTTGGCTATTTTGGAACTCATTCTGTAGACTAGGCTGGCCTCTGCCTCCCAAGTGCTGGGATTAAAGGTTTGCACCACTACCACCCAGCCTTGACTTCAAATTCTTCATCCTCCTACTTAGTTTATGAACACTGGGGTTACAGGAGAATGCCACCACACTCAGTGGGTCGAACACTTTAAATGGGGCAATTCTACAGTGTGTAAGTTTGTATCTTGAGAAAGCTTTAAAGTTGGGGTAGGGCTATAGCCAAGTATAGTGATTTATGCCTATAATCCTGACACAGGAGATTGAGACAGGAGGATTGCTTCAACTTTAAAAAAAAATGGTTTACAAGACAGGTGAGATAGCTTAGCTGTTAAGAAGTGAATGCTGCTTTTGCAGAGGACTTGGGTTGGGTTCCCGTCATCCGTATGGCAGCTCACAAATGGCCTCTCCTGACCTCTGTGGGCACTAGGTGTGCAGGTACACATGTACGTAAAGGCATAATACTCATATACATGAAATATAAATAATGAACCTTAGAAAATGTATTGTTACTGTGTGCATGCAAACGTGTACCTGTGTCCAGACAGGTGTGAACCACTGTGAGGAGTGTGAGCACCCCAAGGTTGGAGAACAGCTCTGGAGTGTTGGTTTTCTTCTTCCTGCTTTATGGAGATTCCAGGAATTGAACTGTGGTTGTCAAAGTGGCAACCTGCTGAGCCGCTTTGCCGGCCCAGCCAGTTGCTTCAAGTCTGAGGCTAGCTTGTGTTATGTAGTGAACCCAGATTAGCTAGGACTACACCTTAAGACTCTTAAACAATCAACAAAAAGGGTGGAGATTGAAGGCTTAATGACCCCAACTTCTGGAACGGCTTTGGATCTAGACCATCCAGTCTCAAGTCACATCTGTCACCTAAAGAGACCAATGAGAGTCCTGTATCCTGGGAAAGTGATCTCACCAGTGTCGTTCATAAAATAGGAAATAGGACCTTAGTTTCTGATTCTCTCTCTCTCTCTCTCTCTCTCTCTCTCTCTCTCTCTCTCTCTCTCCCTCTCCCTCTCCCTCTCCCTCTCCCTCTCCCTCTCGCTCTCTTTCTCTGACACACACACACACACACACACACACACACACACTCTCGTGTGCACACAGAAGTGACTGGGCACTCCTCAGACATCTTTCATTAACTCATTTCCCTGGGGGGCTCTGGCTCAGAGCAGATGTCACGCCTCTGGGTCCCCAGGCTCCTATTTTGCCAATTGTTTCATCATCATCATTAGCTGGTATTTACTGTGTGCTTCCCCTGTGCATGGCCCTAAGCTAGACACTGGGAACTGTAGGGTTTACAGATGTCTGGGAGGGGAAGGGAGGACACAGGGGCCAGCCAGGGACACTGGGAGAAACCAGTGGGGCCTCAGCTGCTGTGACTCTGTGCCCCAGTGCCACTCCTTGCCCTGGGCTTCTCTGGCTGTCCTGGATACTCATAGGCCTCGTTTGCCCACAGGTGGGGGAAGTAGCCACTCTCTACTGCCCATGTGGTACTCACTGAGGCTTGCCCAAAGGCCCGCCTCCTCCCTCGACTATGCCAGTTTCACCCTTTGTAAGGACATCCCTTGTGCTAGGACCTAGAGGCTGCCATGACAGAGGGCCACAACTGGGTGCTCAGAACAATGGGAATTTATTTCCACGGCTCTGGAGATGAACAGCCTGACATCCATGTTAGTGTGGTACTTCACACCCTTCTCAGCCTGCCGGAGAGTCTTCCTACCTTTTCTCACTTCTTGGGGTTCTGGGTGGTCTGGGCCTATGAACATCTGTTTCCAGCCTTTGTCTCTCACATGACCCACCTTACATCTATGTGCCTCTGAATGTCACTTGCCAAACTCCTGTCACTAGACTTAGTCAAAGATCACCTTGAGACTTCTGAAGTCATTATACCTTGTGGGAACAGATGCTGGGGCTGATTAGTATTCTTCAACTTGGCACAAACCAGAGTCACCTGGGAAGGAGAATTCTTGGTTGAAGAATTGCCTCCATCAGAATGGCCTGTGGGCATATATGTGTGGTATTTCTTTGTTTCATTATTTATTTAATTATTAATTTATTAATTTATTTTTGGTGGTTATTTATTTATTTATTGTTTGCTTGTTTGTTTTGTTTTTGTTTTTTGAGACAGGGTTTCTCTGTATAGCCCTGGCTGTCCTGAAACTCACTCTGTAGACCAGGCTGGCCTCGAACTCAGAAATCTGCCTACCTCTGCCTCCCAAGTGCTGGGATTAAAGGTGTGCGCCACCACTTCCTGCTGGTATTTTTTTTTTTTTATTAATGATTGATGTGAAGCCCGTTGTGAGCAGTTCCTCTCCTGGGTTGTATAGGAAAGTGGGCTGAGCAGACCTTGGAGAGAGCACCTTCTGTGATCCCTGCTTCAGTTTCTGCCTCTAAAGCTCTTGCTCTGGCTCCCTAGATGATGGATTCCAACCTGTAAGATGCAATACATCCTTTGCTTCTGGTCATGATGTTTTATTGCAGCTACAGAAAAGCAACCTAGAGACAATGGGAAGCAGAAGAAAGCCTCTTAGAGCTGAGAGCTGGCCAGAACCAGTGTGATTGGCCCCTAATGTGGGTATAAAATGCCCCTGGAGTGGGGGGAGGGCTGGGCAATAGACCCACAGGTAATCTTAGCACCCAGGTGGCTGAAAAGGATGATGTGAGGTCAGCTTGAGCTGTTTACTAAGACTTGGTCTCCAAAACACCCCACTTTTTTTGGTTAGATATTAGCTCAGTTGACAGTGGTTGCCTACCAGGTACAAAGCCTTGGGTTCAATCCCTGGTACTGCATTGACCAGACGTGTCACCTTAGCACTTGGGAGGTGGAGGCAGGAGGATAAGAATTTCAAAGTAATGCTCAGCTGTGTAGCAAGATTGAGGCCAGACTAGACTACAATACATGAGACCCTCCCTCAAGATGGATGGATGGATGGATAGATAGATAGATAGATAGATAGATAGATAGGGTTATTACGGGGTGAGTATTTCCAGAAGGGGAGAAATGGTGAATGGAGGAAAGTGTGTATATCAACCCTGTGTTCCCCAAAGTTGCCTCCCACGCTATGTTTGAAAATACTATCCTACAAAATTCAGAAAGGAGAAGTGGGGTTCACCCCTTCAGGCTGCCCTCGCCTGTGGTCTTCAGGATCCAAAGGATATATGGCTGCCTGTTGCCACCGTGAGGCGGAGGGAGCCTATGTCCAAGAAGGCTCCTCAACCAGAGTCTCACTCTCACCTGTTAGGAGCATCGCCAACCATTGAGTTTGGGATCCAAGAGCTGCCAGGCAAATTGGTGGGTGGAGTTGAGGACAACCATCCTACCTGTGTCAAATGAGGGACTGGAGG